TCTCACTCACATGGTCAGGATTTCTTTTTTTTCCTGTGTGCATGGGACAGGCTGCCTCTGTTTTTGTTTGACGATGTATTAACAGACACTTGCATGACATATATGTGACAAACACACACATCACTTTAAACACAGTTTTCTTTGATTAGACTTTTACTGGCTCTTTATTAATACATTTCTCTCAGTCATCTTCTAACTGTCCATGCCTCTCTGTGTATTTTCTATCTCTTTCTATCTTCACTCTTACCACTCCTCACCATAAATCCACCCCCTCCCCTCTTATCATGTTTCGCGTTTCAGATTGTGGCCATGTTGATGGGTGCTGAAAACATCGACTGGCTTTGATGTTTGATGTTTGCTGCTCGTGTGAGTTTGTCTCACTCAGCCTGGGGTTTGAAGGTAATAAGAGGTATGAGATATGAGTGTGTGTGTGTGTGTGTGTGTGTGTGTGTGTGTGTGTCTGTGTGTGTTAGGCCAAGCAGAGGGTATAGCAAAAGCTTTTTATCCCTCTTTTCTTTTGGCGATTTGCAGGTTTGCCAAAGTTTGACAGTGAAATGAATAATTTTTTTCAAATTCATGTTTATGGTTATTTAGAAAAATGCTACCCAGAGCTCTGCTCAGAATATACCTAGAGGTGTGCATTTATAAGTGTGTGTTAGTCAAGCTTAGCAAAACCATTAGGGGTGACCTCAAATAGTCGAAGATTTGAAGCTTGAATAGAAGGAGCCTGATTCGACTGCCATTCTCACAGTCAAATCTTCACAGAGGCATTGAGACAAGAGGACCATTCCATTTTGACTATATGGGGGTTCTCAATGTCTGATTTTACATAGAAATACCAAAATCTCCCAAAAAGTTAAGCCTATCAACATATAATGCTGTAAGTAAAAATGGGAAAAGAAAGAAGCTTTTAATAAATCTTTTTAAAGTGCGTGACTAAATCCAAAATTGTAACCCCCCCCCCCCCACCTATTGGCAATCAGTTGACCATAGGCAAGACTTGACAATTGTGATTTGACTGTAAATCTTTAGTTGGGGACACCCCTAATGAACATATAAAAAGCCAATAAACAGAAAGAATGCATTTATATATGCTAGATAGTAAAACTAAACATATTAACATATTCCTTTTTTATCATTTCCATATCTAAGTTCTTTGTATCACATATTTCAGCCTCCATTATGGGACACATATGAAGTCTTATCAATGATTATGCAAACACTAATATGCTACACAAAAGATGTGAATGTGGATGTGCATCTTATTCTATTCCCTATATATTATTTGGGGTCAGTTTGGAAGTTTGCTTCTTAATGTAGTAGTTTGCAATGTACTACATTTGGTTTCAGCACTGGATTTGATCTGAACTCTTAAGAATCTAGACTGTGAGATTATCACGTCTGTAAGCAGGAGATAGAAAAACACTCATGCCCATCCAATCTTGTCACATCTATAAATTGTCATCGGTGAGGATTATTTCATTCCATATCAATACAGAGATGATGAGAAGTTAACAAAGCGCTCATTCCAATCCAATCATGCCTAACCCTGAGATCTATAAACTGTCAAGACTATGGACAACATGACAATGATGTCTAAATGGAGGTGAAGAGTGAGACGGAGAGAACGATGGTGCCAATCCAATCTTGTCAGATATACAAGCTGTCAAATGTGCGTTACACTATGACAACCGTATCAACCACATCAATATTATGGAGGTGAGGTGAGAAAGAGGATTATATGACTGTGTCAATAATAGAAGCAAGGAGACAAAAAGCAAGTGGCTTACTTGCTGCCGCATACATTTACATGCAGTACCAAACTGGTGGCAAACATCTCAAACATTAGAGAGTTTAGAGTAAACAAAGAGCTTGAATTTACAGAAGATTTCAGTTTGGTGATGCTCCAGACTAGACTGTTAATACTTGTCTTTACATTCATAATTTCCTGACACCACCAATGTGCATTCCTTTGGAGAAATACGGAGCATGCGCCGTTGCAAAAAAACTCTGCCTGCACAGCCGAACACGCCCCTTTTATGCGAACACACACCAACATCTTATCCACCGTCGTAGTACAGTTTAACTCCAGTGTAGGAAGTCAGAGTTTGTCAACCCTGAGTTTGCCTGAAAACCCCCGAGTTAACTCTGAGCAGGGTGAACTCCCTTCGTAGTACAGGCCACTGATTGGCAGGGTAATCAGCGGCATGGTTTGTTTGGTTTCTTTTCTTTGTTTTTACAGCACAACATCCATGCAGCACATTTTCACTCAACCACTCCCTACACTACTGACTTTACAGATTCTTCCCAGTCATTGGTTTCACTTATTTTCTTATCAATAAATCACTTTGTTATTTAGTTTACCCGTGCGTCTCCCATTTTTTGTTACAGTCCAAGAGCTGGGCTGTGACACTATTATCTTATTTCAGGTGTCCTTTTTGTTTTCTCAATGGCTTAATGGCTATATCTATGGCAATTGGCAATGAAAATCATATTTCTGACAACCCCAAACATCCAAGTTGCTGACTGCATACAAGAAGTCTTTTGTTACATTGGTGCCTGCTAAAAGCACCTCATTTGAACCTGCTTTAATCTTGCAGCCAGCTAATAGACGGCATTTCGCCATCAGATGCTCTGAACAGTATTTGCGTTTTACAGTACAGGCTTTGTATAGGGTGCCTGTGGCTGCTTAGTCCATATAGAGTCCAAACATTATGAGCCATGACTCTCAAAAGATTTGAACACAGTACAGCACTTGAAGCGTAACCTTGCTCTTTGTTAGTTATTGCTTGTGTACAAATCATTATACTATTTACATATGTATACACACAAATATGTAATATGAATAAGAAGCCCCATGTCTTTTGATAGTAATGTATTGATACAACATGGTACTGATACTTTAATATAGCCATCCTAGGTCCAGTATGAGTACATCAGACTACATCAGACAAAACTGACTAAACGCGAGAGACAAACAAAGAGACTGACAGACAATTTGTTCTTGTCCTGCCTTATCAGATCTATAGCTGTCAGGGCAGTGCGCAGTCGATAAGTTGTCTATGATGAGAAGGGCTTATAGGCCGTGATGGCTATTGCCCCTGACGACTACCGCCCGCAACGATAGATGAGACAGATAACTGACATGAGACATACATACTGAGAGAGAGACAGACTGGCATAGCGCTCATGCCCGTCCAATATCAGGTCTTCAATACAAGATCTTGGTCTGGTGAGTGGAGGCTGTGGCTGACAGATCTCTCTCTTCACCACTTCTGACATGTCAGAGACAATGATGGGAAAAGAGAGTGAGGGAACGCTGATGATGTAGGAGAGCAATAATTGATATGACTGAGAGATAATATATGATAGAGAGCGAGGGAAGAAGGGAGGGTTACATGACTGTAGTGTGCAATATATGTCTGATATGGGAGCAAAAAAAATGACTGGTGAAGAATTACTTTATATCAGCAAACCCAGGAGATAAGATGTACCTGGTGTGGTCTACTCTAATTTAACAAAACTGTCAACAAAAGAGGGCACCTCTGACTACAGCCAAGTCAAACACTGGGTCAGTTAATGGGTGGCTCAGAAGAGCTTCTTTACGGCTCCTCTTGGTCTCCTAGAACTATTCTGAGTGCTCAATTCCCTGGCACCATTATCTGACCATAGTAACATTACAATCTTCATCAAAAAGATAGACAAAAAAGCAATCAGACACCACATAGTTTGATTAAAACTAGACCATGTGTTGACTATTTACAACACTGTGGCAGATTTATCCAGTTTGAAAGAGAAATTAGTAGTGAATGCCCTTACTGCTTTTTTTCATAATTTGCATTGGATTTTAAATACTGCTTTGGAAATATAGTTTCTGATAAACAGTCATGTCAGTCAAATAAGTGAATTGAGATAGAAGAACAAGGTGACTCCAGACAGACAGAAGGAGAGAAATGTAAGAGACAGAAAGTGTGAAAGAGAGAGAAGAGTGGGGTGTAAGTATGTGGGTCTATGTGAGAGAGAGAGTTAGAATGTGAGAGAGTGGGCGAGGGAGAAAGAGCAAAGGGCAGAAGTGTGTGAGGGAATGGGATGGTTGCTGCTGATTGCCATTTGGCGTTTGACAGGCGGAGAGAGAGACCCAGCTGGGGTCACATCACGATCTGTCTACAGAGTTATATCAGTCTGCCAACTCAGATGGACAGAAGGAGATACGGAGATGTACTTTTCTCTTTAAGCAGAAAGAGAGGGATTTTAAAACTAAAACTTTCTGTGTTGTGTTCCCATAGCAAACACTGGTGGAAATGATCACTTGTCAATGTGGCTATGTGCTCTAGAGGAAAAATTGTTTTGTAATTTCTGGCAAGAAACTGGTAAAGAAATAAAAAAATAAAGATGCATGTTCATGTTATCAGACATCAGACACTGCATAGTCAGAAACTGACATAAAGTCAGAAAAGAGCACATTTGAGTGAAGTTACTATAAAACTCCGGAATCTCATGGGGACATTAATTTGTTGTTTGTTGTTTGTTTCTGTACCACAATACAAAGCAAAATCACTCAAAAAACATTTTCCTTTCTAAATTATGCAGCAATTTTCACATGAAAGACAAAAAATTGGATTGGATTTGGATTAGTATTTTTCCTGCTGTATAATGTCCTGATTCCTGTCATAAAAAGTTTAAATAATAAATAATGCTAGGCAGTGAATGGATGTGAAGGCAAATAATTAGAATAATTAAACTACCACACACTGCTTAATTTTATCTACCAACTGTCAACACCAAGATTCAGAAAAGATGTGCTCCAACTTGGTCAGATAAATTGTCATACCCAAATCCAATGACTGACCCAACAATAGTAATGTTTATGTCCCCACCTCCACTGATGGGTCATGAATAAAGTTTGCTGGATTACATAATATAGATATTATATATAGATATATATAGAAAATACAGAGAGAACAGAACGGACACACAAAGCCACATATGTAGCATCCTACCAGTAGGCAGAGCAGGGTCCATGGTGGGTTTTTCCCAGGAGTTGACTTGTTCCCAGGTAAATCCATTGGTTCCCAGAGAAACGCTGTACCCACAGCTGCTATATGACTCCTCAAATGTACAGCCACCTAAACAGAGACAAAGAGAAAAATAAAAAAAATTACAGGTGACTCATAATTCCACTGTGTAAGCGCAGTTTGTGATTTAGCGTATTAAGGTGGGATTGAACCTTAGACTTTTCAGTGACAGGGTGGTACATCCAACCGACAGCCATCAGCTAAACCAAGAAAATGTACACAATTATGACATCGAACATGATGATGTTCGACGACCGTGCACATGGAGGTCAGTGACAATGTTACAGTAAATGCTGTGTGTAGCCAATAGAGTAAAATAAGGTGTAACCGCAGTGTTTCTGCTTTAAAAGCACAGTTCTGGGCAGGCGACAGGTGTTTACTAGCGTTGCATGCTATATTGATACTAAGAAAGGTATTGCTATATACTCCCCTACTAATACTGCCTTTAATAGTACCGATAATTTAAGAATGACAGTATTTTAGAGCCTCTGCGAGGGGAACAGTGTGTGTGCAATGCCACTCTGCTCCCCCTCCCTGCAGGCAATGTGGGTGTGCCTTACACTGCAGCTCTGGGAGAGACGAAGCAGAGAGCAAAAGACATGGCTGCAAGCAAAAGCTCAGCTTGTCAACAAAACAGACTCACGGAGAGAACTATCAAATTATTTATTTCACTTACATAGCCAACAGTGAGAGAAAAACCATGGACACCACAAGGCCCATCAGTAGAAGATGTTTCAAACCCACGCAGACCAAGGGCGCCAACACGTCGCAAAGCAAACTTGTTCAAAGAGTTCAAAGAGCAAATACATGTATTCGCACTTACATATATGAAAAGAAAAACAAGAAAACACGTCATAAGAATATAAATTTATTTTATTAAGGATGAAAATAGTGTTTTATATTATTATAAATGACTTTAACTTTAAGTCTGGCACTTGAAGGCCATGATGATGAAGCTCAAACTCAGGATTATTAGCCTGCACAGTAGGCTTGTTCCGATTGGCGATTGGATGATCAGTGATTGGTTTTTCATATTAAGATATTAAGGTGATTTTAACTAACTCACTATCAGAACTAAGATGACATAAAAACAGTCTCTAGAATCTGCACCACACTGCAGTGTTTCCCATTCATTGATTTATTTGTGGCGACACGCTACAATATCAACGCTGGCTGCCACATACTATATACTATTCTATATGAGCAAAATTATAATTCATTGTGGTGTGCGCACACCTCCACTTGCTCGCTCCCTTTCTCTCTCTCTTACAAACACATTTAAATGGAGCCGCGTGTATATAGGAAAAATAATGCATTCAAGTTAAATCTGAAAAGTTAGTCTATCTATTTACTTAACACAACGCTGTCAATGTCGGAAACCCACCTTCAAATAACTTATAAACAAACATGTAAGGAGCCTAGCTAATAAGCATAGATATGTAAATGTTAGAATACAGCTGGGTTGTCAAAGTAAGCTTGCTGTACATTGCTGCTAGTCGATATCTACTGCAGGTCTCCCTGCGCGTGGCGCAACCACATGGTAAAGGCTTTTTCACACGGGAAGCGATTTACGCTAATTCATTCTGTGGGAAACACTGTACAGTTGTGTTCTGGTAGTTTCTCTGAAAGCTAATAAGTAAATAATTTTTCTTCCATGTTGGCATTTCACTAGCATACTGCAATGTAACACCACCCCTTGAAAATCACATTGTGAAATGGGTGATCTCAAGCCATGATTACACGATATGAACAGAGAGAAGATCGCGAATGCCTACTGCACACTACATTAGTGCACTAAAGTACACTGACACACATGACTCAAAAACACCTCTTCAGCAGAGAGAAAATGTGCTGCACTAAGCACATTTTCTAGTTTTCTGTTTAGTCAAATTAGATTTAAAAATTTTATGAATTGTCATTACGCTCTCTAAAAAGATGTTCACAATCTACAGTAGATATGATAGTACTAAAAAAATCATTTTAAGTTCCATGTCATGTAATTTATTATTCCATTACTTTACCTGATGTTTTAGATTTTTGTTGTGGTATTGTTTTCAGTATCGGTATCGAGATATTTAGGCACGTATTGTCTCAAAGTCATAATTTTGGTATTGTGACAACACTAGTCTTTACATTGTTTGTGTGCTTTGAAAGCCATCACAACACTGATATAAAGTCACAGCTGACAGACTCTTAGCCTAGCTTGCAAATACTTTATTAACACCAGAAAAGGAGCAAAAATTGCCACCCATGTGTCGTGTTTCCATCACTGCCGATTGCAGCTGGAGCTTATGAATACCCATACTGATACTGCAGAGTCATTTGATGTCAATGAATGCCAATTGTACTATTTCCGTTAGTGGTTGTTAGTCAGGGTTTTGTCCAGTGTAAAAGGGGCTATAGAGATGGAATTACAGAATGCAAATTCATTTAATAGCTAATGCCAGCCATAAAAATAATTATAAATTGTGTTTGATGTAATGAAAACTTCTAAAACGGTATCTTTAATCACTTCAACAAGGTTTGAATTTCCAAGAAGTTTTTTTGTTTTGAAAACAGAGCTTTCATAAGCTGCTCTGGTATTGCTAACAATATTATACTAATTAAGTTATCAGCATGAATTGAAAGAGCCAGTGCAAGACAGACAATGTCACAGCTTATCAGTGAAAAGAAGAGAGTGGAGGGGGAGAAAGAAAGTGAGAAAGAATGAAAGAAAGAACAACAGAATGAGGGGGAGAGAGAGGATGCATTTATATGAGAGAGAGAGAGTGAGGGGCAGATGCAGAGAAAGCTCTATGTGTCAACATGATTAAGTCATCGTTATTTCATGGCCCAGCTAAGACACATTTTCCACCGCATTAGCCTTCTCTGCTAGCCCAGAGCGCAGCGCACACACATCCACACACACACAACCATGCTTCCCTAATTAGACATATGCTTTGACACACAACCATTTTAATTTGTTTTGAAGCATTTGAAACGGGGGAACGTCACTGCTTTATTCATTAAATCACTTAATGCTTTTTTTATCTGCCTCTTTGTTGCTGTCATTTCCTGAGAGCACATTTGTCAGTTTAGCGCTCATCAAAACAAAAGAAAAGCTTCTTGTCATTCGACTTCAGCTTTAACATGCTTGTAGATTACAATGAAACCACAGCCTGAGGAGACTTTGCAGCATGACTGCAAAATAATTTAGTATACTGGAGGTACTACATAGCACTAGAAACAGAGCTATTTTGTATGAATTAATGTCCCTTACTTACTCTTGGCGGGTAAATCTAGCCACATCATCAGGTAAAAATTTCAATTTGTCAAATACTATCCCAGGTGCACTTGTTCTTTTTAGCAAATGTTAGCATGCTAACATGCTAAACTAAGATGGTGAACATAGTAAGCTCAAAATGTGCTCTGAAGCATGAGTATCGTTTGAAGCTTAGGATGTCATAAATAATGTGGCAATCTTAATACAACACAATCTCAGATGAAACACACAGAAATGGTACTCGCTGGTAAGGAAGTGTTGGTGCATCAGTAACCAACCTTGTAAATACATTACTCTTCTGACTTGAACCTCTTGAATCTGCTTCCTATTACCTTCCTTCACCGTCTGGCCAGACATCCATTACAGTAATCCTTATTACAACACATATACTCCAAAATGTAAAATGCATGAAATGTATAGTATAGTTTTGATTATGCCTCATCAAGCAAGACTTACATCAACTGAGAAATAAAAATTTCTAAAAAGGATCTGTACTCTCTTTGAAAAACAACCCCAAGCAGTGTGTGAAAACTATGAAAAACACAATTTTTCTTACAGATATGAAAATAGCTGTTATAAATTAATCAATACTGAGATAATTAGCCTTTATCGCCCCCTCGTTGTTCAGTGATCTCATTAGAAATGAAAAGAAATCAAAGTGATCTCATTAGAACAGAGTTATAAACAGGCGAGGGGGGCTGTGGGGGGTCTACCATCAATATTCAATATCAGATCTGCAATATTAAGACCACTTTCAGGGGATGAGAAGGAGAAGTGGCTCACAGCGGTTGGCGAGACTGTGTGTGTGACTGTGTGTGTGTGTGTGTCAATGCCCCGATCTAGTTTTGAAAATCAGTACAACACCTCCCTACCATGCATCTCATTGACACAAACACAAACATAATTACACACACATGTTCTGTGTCAGAACATTTGCATAATGAAAACATAACACTACTAGCTTGTGCTTGTGTGTGTGCACCTGCGTGTGCGTGATGGAGAGAAAGAGACTAAGCATGGTGCAGATAAAACATGCATGTGGTCATGTATGTAAGTACAGTATGTTAATGTATAATGTGTATGTGCGTGCATGAATTAGTTTGACACACAGAACAAGCAGAATCCCGCTATATCTCCTAATTATAATTCCTGTAAGCAATATAATAAAATATTTATATCATGACTAGAGCAAGCCTACACACACACACACACACACACACACACACACACACATGATCTTCATTTGAATGACTTCATGTTTATAATATATATTATATATTTGTTTAAAAATTCACTTATTCATTCTAAAGTAAAAAAAACATACCGGTTTATTATGTAAGTTCTTTATACACCACTGAAAACATAGTTATAGATATAATATTGCAGTTTTGTCAATATATTCTCCTAAATATTACACACTTTAAAAAGTTAACACTAATTTCCCTTATTGTTTATATTCTGCTGTATTGTTTGTTCTGCTGTTTGTCACTGTGCCATCTTCTGTTGTCAGCCAACTTGTTTGCATCCAGCTGTCAACTGCTGCAAAAAATCACAACGCAGAACCTTCATCAGAACCTTTATTTCAAATAATTAGTGTGACACGTTTTGCTATGACAATGTCATGAATAATAGCTGTATACACACACACACATGGTGATTCACATTGAAAACCACTTGGCTGCTGTGTTGTTGTAATCTGACCTATAATGTCAGATGTGCCAGCAGCTTTGATTGTACATAACAGTCTGTAGTTCAGTAGCTTTCGGAAGCAGTAACGTGTGATCACACT